GACACAATAATCTTTATAATCATTCCCTCTCACCTCAATAAACATGTGCCCTTGTAGAGCTATGTCAGTATATCCAAGATATGCATGTGACACAATAACCTTTATAATCATTCCCTCTCACCTCAATAAACTTGTGCCCTTGTAGAGCTATATGTTGAGCTATGTCAGTATATCCAAGATATGCATGTGACACAATAACCTTTATAATCATTCCCTCTCTCACCTCAATAAACTTGTGCCCTTGTAGAGCTATATGTTGAGCTATGTCAGTATATCCAAGATATGCATGTGACACAATAACCTTTATAATCATTCCCTCTCTCACCTCAATAAACTTGTGCCCTTGTAGAGCTATATGTTGAGCTATGTCAGTATATCCAAGATATGCATGTGACACAATAATCTTTATAATCATTCCATCTCTCACCTCAATAAACTTGTGCCCTTGTAGAAGTGCACAGGTAGAGAAGCAAGTGTTGGCATTTTCAAAATCCTGATCTAGCGCAGTGCAATAAACTGACTGGAACGGCAGAAAACTCTGAATACAGAAATAAAGCACAGAATTATATTTGTGGTTTTCAATACCATAATGTAAGAATAAGAATCATTATGTTATTTGTACAGGAATAAGCAATATCATTAAAGTGATCAATATTAAGCCCTTAATTCTTGAATGACAGATGTCCAAAAATAATGGAAGGACGAGGAAATATTTCATTCAACAAAGAATATGCAGGTAGTTATTTTAATTCAAAAACTTTAACATTAATTACCAGTTGTCCACATCTGTCAACCAAGGGTAATTCCAAAGTTTACCTGTTATCCACATCTGTTAATCAGGGCTAATTTGAGAGTTTACCAGTTATCAACAATTCTTAACTAGGGCTAACTCAAGAGTTTATCAGTTATCCACATCTGTTACCCCAAAACCAACTCCAAACTATATTGATAAAACTTTTTAAATAAGAGATCAAAAGCTTTAGGACTTGTTTATTTTTTATTTACCACAAAGTTCAGTAATATAATATTACAACTAAAACATCCCAGAATGTTTCATCTGTTTTCATAATGTATTTATTAAAAACTTTCTAATATCGCAGATGACATTATTAAAGTAGACAAATATAAGTTTCTAAACTGTTCAAAGAACAACTGTTATCATCATTCACATAAACACATGTACCACACTGGGATTTCATGAGAAACTTATATTTGATATTACAAGAAGAGGTAAGAACTTTTGAGTTGTTCTACATTTATTTACACTAAATCCAATAATGGAAAGTTGCTGTGGCTCCTTTGTCATAAGCTTATTGTTAGTTTTTTATTGCTTGTAGAGGCTGACCATGCACGTAACCTTGCAAAACTGGCCCAGTCCATGAGACCGATATTACAAGAAGAGGTAAGAACTTTTGATTTATGAAATCCCAGTATGGTACATGTGTTTATGTGAATGATGATAACAGTTGTTCTGTGAACAGTTTAAATCTTGGTGATTCACTGAATAAACATAACTCCTGAATCTTGGTGAATAAACATAACTCTTGAATGCTTTAACAAGTTGGTTAGATATCTGTTAACACAAAAAGAATTAAGTCAAAGATTAAGAATACTAAAACAATTTAATGCGAAAACATTCACAGTAAACAGTGATGTCTTATTACATAATCCAGATTTTAAATTATCTCAGGAAAGACTATCAGAATTATGTCTTTGAACACATAAATTAAAATGTTAATTGAAAACAAATGTTGAAATCCGTCAAAAAGACACTGGCATCAATAGAAGAATACTGACTGAAGCATTACCGATAAGTTCACAAAACCAGTGCTAAATACATAGCCAAGAGCCCCTGCTCTCTTACCTATATTAATAATATTTTATCCACCTCATTTTAGTAAAAAGCTAATTTAATGCCACCTACAAACCTTGTCTTCACTATCACAAGTCTGTAGCTTTCTTTAAAATCAAACTGTTTTCTTATCTGATGATGACCCGATACTATGGGTCGAAATATAGTATTAATTAAAACCAGAATTTTCCTACTGTAAAAGTTGCCATATTTTTAAGAGTTACAAAAGTTGACATTAATGGTATGTGACATCTGATAGCCCACTTAGTAAAAACCTTAACAAATCACCTTACAGATCCTGTCTCAGTGAGAAAGACATTAAAAAACTTACTACTGATATAATAAACGTCCTCCTGCTTTTGAAACTACAATATTCATTTGATTGGGTTTATTTTTCAAACCATTCAAACTGACATACATCATCACTAAAAGGAAAAACAGGACTGTTGATTAAATTCCATTTATGTTGCTTCTTGCAGAAAAGTGTAATTTGGTTTAGGAATCAGCTAAGAAACACTCACAACTAAAAGTATATATTTATTTAGATGATTGGGGAGTTTTGGAGCATCCAATGCACAGGCTCTTCTCCCTTTTCTTGTGGAGACTCATAACAAAGCATTTATCACTTCGTAATTCAAGTATCATTGTATTACTCCCGTTTCTTAACCACTGACCATACGGAGGAAACTAGCCAGCAACAATCACTTTTATTTAACACATTAGTATTATTTTATGCTTAAGCAGTCTGGCACTAGCCTTGGCACAGACTCACCTTCTTCAAGTAATATCCTCAATATTCTTCTAGTAATAAATGCCCAATTCTGTTTCATTCAGTAGCATTCAAGGTTTTGGGATGTGATATTAAGTAACATAAAAATATTAAGGTTCATATCTTTAGAAATCTCACAATATTAAGACAAAACTTGGAAGTAATATTTGACACAACACATTGCAAAGACACTCACCTAAATTTGCCCTTTTTTCAATGTATGTCATGACATCTTTAGCATACTTGGACCAAAGTTTGGCTCTGTGTAGAGCAAGGTCGACACCTTCCGTCAGCCTCAAGAGTCTTAAGTCTATTTCCTGAGGTGTCAGTACCTCAGATGCTGAGCAAATCAGATATTACAGTAGTGTTAGTGCAAAGTTTCAAAAACTGGTTACCCCTGTCTCTTTAGGTGGTAGCATTTGAGAGACATCAGAACAGCATTAGTGAATTGTTATCTCTAGTACTAGAAACACTATAAAATATACCAATATGGTCACTTAATGTAACTGTAAATTATAATCTGCTTTTCAATACTGGTCATTTGATGTAAAAATAAGTTATAATCTGGTTATCAATACTGGTCACTTGATGTAACAATAATTAATAATCTGGTTATCAATACTGGTAAAATGATGTAACAATAAGTTATAATCTGCTTATCAATACTGGTCACATGATGTAACAATAAGTTATAATCTGCTTATCAATACTGGTCACATGATGTAACAATAAGTTATAATCTGCTTATCAATACTGGTCACATGATGTAACAATAAGTTATAATCTGCTTTCAATACTGTCACTTGATGTAACAATAAGTTATAATCTGGTTATCAATACTGGTCTCTTGATGTAACAATAATTAATAATCTGTTTATCAATACTGGTAACCTGATGTAACAAT